TCTGCTCATGCTTACCATTGTTTTTCACTGCTCTATATGGGAATGGCTTTAGCAAATAAAGAAATACATCCTAAGGTGGTACCTGTGGCTGAAAGGAGTAGGGCACCAGCCCCATATGCCAGAGGTGGCAGGTTCAAACCCAGCCCTGGCCTAAAACTTAAAAAAAAAAAGAAAGAAAGACAAAAAAAGAAATACATCCTCTAGAGTGCCTGTATACTCTGCCCCTCAGTTGGCAGGTTATGAGTGATGAATTTTGTTTTTTGGGTTTTTTTGTTTTTGAGACAAAGTCTCACTCAGTTGCCCTTAGTTGAGTGCTATGGCATCATAGCTCACAGCAACCTCAAACTCTTGGTTCAAGTGATTCTCTTGCCTCAGCCTCTGAGTAGGTGGGACTACAGGTGCCTACCACAACACCTAGATATTTTTTAGAGATGGGGTCTTGTTCTGGCTTAGGCGGGCCTTGAACTCCTGAGCTCAAGCAGTCTGCCCACCTTGATTTAGGTTTTTTTTTTTTTCAATTGAGACAGTCTCACTTTGTCATCCTCAGTAGCGTGCTATGGCATCACAGCTCACAGCAACCTCAAATTCCTGAGCTCAAGTGATTCTCTTGCCTCAGCCTCCCGAGTAGCTAGGACTACAGGCGCCCACCACAATGCCCAGCTATTTTTTTGTTTTAGCAGGCCTGAGCTGAGTTCGAAGGCGCCAACCCTGCTGCATGTGGCCGGCACCCTACCCACTGAGCTACAGGCACTGCCCTGGATTCAGCTTTTTGATTGGCACAAGTTACCCCAGCCATGACCATGGACCCTGAGTGGGGAGAGGGCTATTGACACTGTTATTAACTTGCCTCTTTCTGCTGTGCTGATAGTTTGCTGCTGGGAGGTGGGTGATGTGTGGATTGTGTTTTGTGTGGGTCTGTGGACATCTTTCAACACTATCTTCTTGGCTTTCAAAGCCTTTGCTTCCTTCTTTGCCTCGGGCACCATCTTGTTAAAAGCTAATTGTTAAAGTAAAATGTTTACTTCATGAATTAAGGGATATAAAGGTGAAAATGGCACTCCCTGTCCTTCATGAGAGTCAATGATAATTCTTATTCTCACCTCTTATTGTTTTCCAAACAGACTAAAATCTAAAAAAAGGTATGTGGTTGGGAAAAAAGTAATACTTAAAAAAAAAAAAAATAGTTGGCATATTGACCCAACCATGCTTTTGATAGAATGGTAATTTTTCCAGTTTAAGTTTATTATTAGCTTTAAAAATTTCACCTGTGCTCAGAAGCTTACTATGCACACTTTCATACACTGTTTAAAAGCCATACATTATCTTACATTTATGCTAATTATAGTTTTGTGGGTTTTTTTAAGAGAAATTCTAGGAGCAGTGTAGAAGGGAAGGAATCAAATGTCCAGATAAGGAGTCAGGAGGGGCCTTGCTTTGGTGATTGCCACGATAGACATGGGCCCTTGAAAAACTTGTGCCCTTCTGTGCCAGAGAAAGGGCTAGAAAGCTTCTTTCTCATACTAGAAAGAAAAGGTCTCACAAGAGAATAAAAAAGTCCAACAACGGGCTTGGCGCCTGTGGCTCAAGTGGCTGGGACGCCAGCCACATACACCTAAGGTGGCGGGTTTGAAACCAGCCCGGACCTGCCAAACAACAATGACTGCTGCAACCAAAAAATAGCCAGGTGTTGTGGTGGGCGCCTGTGGTTCCAGCTACTTGGGAGGCGGAGGCAGGAGACTCGCTTGAGCCCAGGAGTTGGAGATTGCTGTGAGCTGAGATGTCACGGCACTCTACCCAGGGGGAAAGCTTGAGGCTCTGTCTCAAAAAAAAAAAAAAAAGTCCAACAACGAAGAGTTATTTAAGAATAAATAAGTAAATAATGAAGAGCACCATCACATCAAACAAGAGAAAATGATACACTGAGAACACGATGGGGAGCAGTGGTAGGAATACTTTACACCGTAATGTGTTTAAAATGATTAGTGATATAAAGAAGAAATCATAAGGGAGGAATAGAGTATTTTGAGAAAAAAGGATGGACTTGAAAAAAAATTACATGGAACTTAAACGAAAAGATAGTAATTAAATGAAGAATTAATTATTGAATTAAATGAAAAATTATTGGTGTATACTTTATTCTAGCATAGAGAAGCTTTCTCAGCATGCTTCATAAAATTACCACCAAGAGAGAAAAGTACAAGGATAATAAGCATTATGGATAAGTTGGCTCTGTATCATAATTCCCTATTCTAACATTCTCAGAAGGATCCCATCTATGATAAATGCAGGAACTGCAGTCACATGTGAATGGTTCATTTCTGGATTCATTCTGAACTCTCTTAAGCACAGTGATTGTTAGTTGTCGTTCAAGCAGAATCTGTTGAGTAATGGGTATCAATTTAATTTTAGCATCTTTTCTTCACAGATTACAATATCTTTCCTTGGTTCGGCGCCCACAGCACATGATTATGGGACTGGCCACATTCACCAAGGGTGGTGGGTTCAAACCTGGCCCTAGACAGCTATACAATAATGGCAACTGCAACAAAAAAATAGCAGAGCATCATGGTGGGCATCTGTAGTCCCAGTTACTTGGGAGGCTGAGGCAAGAGAATTGCTTAAGCCCAAGAGTTTGAGGTTGCTGTGAGCTGGGATGCCATGACACTCTACCGAGGGTGACAAAATAAGACTCTGTCTCAAAAAAACAGAAAACAATATCCTTCTTTATTTCCTCCTGTCAAGCAAACTGTCTCTGATCTCTTGGAAGATCTTTTCTCTTCTCTTCTGCCATTGGGCCATCCCTCTGGTAGAAGGGAGGGAAATTTGCTACCAAGATTGAGAGTGAAGTTACTAAGTTTTTATTTATTTGTTTGTTTGTTTGTTTAATTAATTCATTTTTTAAGGTAGAGTCTCACTGTCTTGCCTAGACCAGCTCACTGCAACCTCACACTCCTGGGCTCAAGTGATCCTCCTGCCTCAGCCTCCCTATAGTTCTAGAACTATAGGCGTGTGCCACCACACCTAGCTAATTTTTTTTTTTTAGAGATTAGGTCTTGCTGTGTTGTCTATGCTGGTCTTAAACCTGGCTTAAACCTGGTCCTCTCACTTTGGCCTCCTAATGTGCTGGGATTACAGATGTTAACACTGTGCCTGGCCATTAAAATTCTTTTTTTCAATATGAAAAATTAAATCACTTATATCTGTGTTATTAGTAATGAGTCTCTGTAATATTTTGTTCTTGCACGTGCTTTTGAAATACTATACATTTTAAAATAAAATGTTTCACATGAGCGTGGAGAATCACAACAAAGCATAGTGAAGGGTAGTGAGCAAAGAAAGCCTGGCTGTGAAGCAGCCAGGCCGGGAGCCAATCAGGACCTGGAGTCTGTGTTCTAAACTCTCTGGCAGGAGCGCTGGAATATCACCTTTTGAACGTGAAATGTTTGTTTGAGAGATTCTGTTGGCTTTTCTGCCAAGTTAGAGATGTGACTTTGGAGGCTGGTAAAGAATGGTGTTTGGGGTGATTTGTGGTTTTTCTGAACACTTTTCCTGACCACTGAAGGCAGTCATTAGAAATGGTGCTGTCATTTTCCTCTGTGATCATAGTAGTCCTCAGGCTCTTGTTTGCCAGGTAAGAAACCAAAGGCTTTAAACTCTTTGTAGATGATTAATAACAGATAAAGCTTTCATGGGGTCTAGCATGTGGGCCTTTACTCAGGTCTCTTGTGCCCTCGTTCAATTTATGGGAGTCTTCTAAGAAACAAAGACAGTCGCAAGGTGTCTACGCCTGTGACTGTGGCTCCTGTGATGTGACAGCTCTCTCTTTTCTTCTCCCCGACTTTTTCCCTTGAGATGGTGCCCTCAGTATAGATGTTCACCATAGTTCACATGAGGAAATTGTTAGGCCTGGAGGAAATTCACAAAATTATTTCATTCACTTGCAACCTTTTGGAAGAAATGATTTGTGCTAAGTGCCAATTGAGTCCTTCAAAACCAATAACCCTGGACAGCTGAATTCTCTTACCAGTTAGAACTGGTGAGGCGCCAGGAAGTTTTTTGAAATTATTAATTTTAGAATAGTTTTACATTTACAGAAAAGTTGCAAAGATATTATAGAAAGTTCCCTTATATCCCCCTTCATACCATCTTGCCTATGAACATTTTATTGTATTAATGCTTTCTAGGGGGTATTTTTAAAGCAACAATTTCTACCTTGTTTGTGGATGTGGGAACATTTTATTTACAGATTAGATACCTCAAGAATTCTACTGACATGAGTACATGGCAAAATAAAATGGTTTTTCATTTATGAAGTTACCCAAAAATAAAAACTAATACCTTAGCAAAATAATTTATATCTTTTAAAAATTACTGGCATGGTGCTGAGTTCATGTATTTGTTGATAAAATGATTGAGTGGATGTAGATGCATTGTCTGTGTAGGTGTCCTATTGAGAATCTGAGGTCATTATAGCTTTCAGCAAAGGCCAGATTACATCGTATGTGACCTGTTCTGCCTTCCCTAGGTTTAGATTCTTACTACTGATTGGCTTAAGACATAATTTATTCTTAATATTATGAAATGTTGGTGTTTCTCCAGCTGTCCACTTATATTAAATTACTATAGGTAATGATGGGTGCCTACTGTTTGCCCTGCCCTTTCTATCATAGCAAACGCTCATTATAAACTTGGGAACTTTTGTTCATATATGTTTTCTTTCTATAAATTATTTCTGTAGATTAAATCTCAGTAGATAATTGAGCTGTGCTTAATCCTGTACTATCTTGTTGAAAATGTTTCATTTTAGGGGTGGGGAGAGGCTACCAACATAGGTATTAATTATTGTTAAGAAAAAATCATCTTTGGTAGTGCCCAAATATACTTTTTAAAAGTCTTTATTCTAAGTAAATAGAAGAAACTGGGGTGTTTTCATCAAAAAAAATAAAAATTATTTATTTGGAAAGTAGACTATTCAGCAATTAATCTTTTTATATTTTCAGAATTCAGCTGTGGAAACGGTTATGTCAAAACAACTTTCTCCCAATGTTCAAGAAAGCATGAAAAACACCGAAGATGAGCAGAAAGTCAATGAGCTGCAAAATCAACCTTTAGAATTAGACATTATGTTAAGAAATGAACAATTAAAAGAGATAGAGGTATGGAAACATGAGGAACACTGGCAGCGTGATTGCATAATTCACCCAGTGAGATACAATGTATTTTAATTACCAAAAACTTGCTTGTGTAGAGTGAAAAGTCTTATTTAACCTTTGCCTGATGATCAATTTGGTAACTATATAATTATGCACTAATCAGTAAGTTGTGTAAATCTTGCTATTTAAAAAGTAGAAGAGTTTAACGAACATTAGTTTTCTTTCACAAAGTTTCTAAAAACTTATTCAGTAGCAGAAGTCAGAGATTTGGGCTTGCCATCATTCCTTTTCTTAGTCATATCTGTTTTTCTGCTTCTGACGAATTCCTTGTATTTTTCCTAATATTCATGTTAGAGAGGTGCTTTTCTTTGTTTTACAGCTTTGTTTACATAGTTCTGTTTCTGTATTTGTGTTCGTCTAGCTTTGTATAGTAATCTAAAAATCCAATAAGGCCCTGTTTTATAAAGTGAATCTATAATGATCTGGAAAGTTTTAGCTAAGTTTATGTAATAGCAAACATGTATCTAAAACAGGAGAGGTAACGTACATGAATAATAAAATGAGGTAATTCTTTTTAGACGTTGCAGAATACCTTGTTACAATAGGGTGATCTTATTGATATTCAATGTTGGACCAATGTTGAATTTCAGATTTTAACAAAAAATAATAACAAGTATTATTAGGACCTTAGTTTCTCTAGGTGTAAACGAAATATTTGAAACATTTTTGGGGGATAGACTATATTATCTGAAGGGAAAAGGAAAGGAAAGAAAATGAATTAATTAATTAATGAGTGACTGGGTGAGCATATATTTACTGATGTGTGTGACATGATTTTAGGAATTATATACGCACTTGGAGGCAAAAAAAGCAGCCATTGAACCACTGGAACAAACCGAATGTCTCAACCAAAGAGAAACAAGTGCCTTGGTTTTCCACACTACGAGATATTCCACACTCTACTTGGATAATCTGCTTAAGACACTTGTGACTTTAAAGAAAACTAAAAAAAGCCAATATTGTCTTCTTAAAGATTTTCAGGAGCACTTTACTACTGCTGAGTCATCTCTGAAAGCCTCAATGACAGAAAGAGAAAGCCTAAAAGTGTAAGTGTGAGAGTTCAGGACTTGGGTAAGCGTGAGAGTTCAGGACTTGCATCCTTTTAATCCAAGGACAGCCTCCTACTTTGGACAGGTCAGGGTTTTAAGAGTTTATGCTGTTAAAGGATATTATAAAAACTACAGTATAGAAATTAGTTCTATATGGAAAATGTCCTAGTCTGTTTGATCTGCTATAACAAAATACTGTGGATTGGGTGGCGTTTGAAAGACAGATTTTTATTTCTTACAGTTCTGGAGGCTGGGAAGTGTGAGAAGCCCAGCGTGACAGCAGACTCAGTGTCTGGTGAGGCTTCCTCTCTGGTTCATGAATAGCACCCCCTGACCATGTCCTCACATGGCAGAAGGAACAGTGCCCTCTTTGGGTCTCTTTTCTAATGGTTTTAATGCTATTCATTAGGGGCTCCATCCTTGACTCCTAGGCTCCATGACCTAGCTCCTCCTAATACCATCACATTAGTAATTAGGTTTCAAAATATAAAATGACCATAACAGAAGCCATTTAAGAAAACTAGATTGGTTTCATGAAAAAAAAAAAGTTTGTTACTGAGTATATTTTACAAAGTAATTTATTAAATGATTCACACTATAAATATCTGCAAAATAGATTTAAGTTCTGTGTTGTTCAGTACGACTTTTGTTAATATATTCTAAACTTGGGGCGGCACCTGTGGCTCAGTGGGTAGGGTGCTGGCCTCATATCCCGAGGGTGGCAGGTTCAAACCTGGCCCCGGCCAAACTACAACAAAAAAAATAGTGGGCGTTGTGGCGGACACCTGTAGTCCCAGCTACTTGGGAGGCTAAGACAAGAGAATCGCCTAAGCCCAGGAGTTGGAGGTTGCTGTGAGCTGTGATGCCATGGCACTCTACCGAGGGCAATAAAGTGAGACTCTGTCTCTAAAAAATAAATAAATAATACATTCTAAACTCGGGGCTGGGGAGAGAAACATGTATGTAATTGTTTTCTATCAACATAACTGGTTTAAATAGTTTGGTAGATGTTGAATATTTTTTGTAATTTTTATAAAATAATATGTTCTTCTTTTGTGGCAGATACAGTCTTAATGTATAAACATTTTCTCATTAAAAACATTTGTTTTATACTTATACCTAAATGGGATTTACTTTCAGTACTATCTCTTGAGGAAATAATTTTATATTCATAAGATTATCTTGATAAGTGCAACTTCTCAGTCGATATCTATATTCTTACTATTGGAAAGATGATACAAAGAGGTTGGCTATTGCGGTAATTCCTCACCGTTCAGACAAACCTTCGTACAAAGCATTTTCACATACGTCTTTCTTTGACTCTTTCCTCCTTTCCCATCATTCTTCATTTTTATGATACTCATTTTATTTTTAAGTTTTTGGCAACTAATTGAAAGCCACAGTAAACAGATTCTAATTTTTTCTTTCTTTTTTTAGATAGAGTATCACTCTTGCCCTGGGATAGAGTGCTGTGATATCATAGCTCACAACAACTTCAAACTCTTGGGCTCAAGAGATCCTCTTGATTCAGCTTCCCAAGTAGCTGGGACTATAGGAGCCCACCACAACACCTGGCTAATTTTTCTATTTTTGGAAGAGATAGATAGCATCTCGCCTTGCTCAGGCTGGTCTTGAACTCCTGAGCTCAAGCAATCCACCTGCATTGGCCTCCCAGAGTGCTAGGATTACAGGCATGAGCCGCTGTGCCTAGCCCTGACTATTTTTTTTTAATCTTTTATTTAAGGATAGACTACTTTTATAGACAATTTAATCTTCTTTTCTGTGAATTCAAAACAGAATTGACTTCTTTTATTGACATCTAACTACATGCCAATGGATAATAAATACCAATTTTTTTTTTTTTTTTT